ATAATTCATAGGGGAGCTCATTACTGTTTGAAGCTAGAACGGGGGAGCTAAGAGCGAAAACATATAGGGCTAAATTCCAGGAAATTGACACTCTATGCACCTACGGAACCACGAGAGGAAAACTATAGAACACATAATTTTAAAGTGCACAAAACCTCGTCCCGCCTTTTTTTCTTTATTTTTTTTTTTTGAGGGGGGGGGGGGAAGGGATGACTACGGATTTGGAGGGGGCACTGGGATTTATAGATATGAATGGACGAATGGATAGGGAAAGAATTGCGGTAACTAAGAGGAGATTGGAAGAAAAGAGTCAAAGTACAGGCTAGCTGGTGGAAGTCAACCATTTCGTCGTTTACCCTGAAACTGTTTTTTTTTTTTTTTTTTTAAGAGCAGAAGTAACAGAAAAAGAACAGTAACAGAAATTGAGACCTGTCTGTTTTTGCTGTTACTTCTGCTCTTCAAAAAAAAACCTAGTCTCAGGGTAAACGACGAGATTGGAAGATTGGTGGAAGAGATATAGGGAAGGGTAAAAAGATATACAAATGAAAATAAGCAATGGAATCACTTTAAAAAGAGGGGGGGGGATTATGTTACAACAAAATTTATTCAAATTTAAAAAAAGAAGAAAAAAAGAAGGGATGACGAAATGTTAGGCAAGGTGGCGCAAGCTGCCGCCCTTTACAAAGGGTATAGCCATTACCATCCATCAATCCACTTTAGTCCACGATTCAAAGCCAAAATTTTGCTTTTCTGGCACTCCGAAGATTTTTCTTGGGGAACTTCACACGCATTGCGAGTTCAGGGAGCAAAAAAGAGGCATAAACCCGCAAAACTCGCCTGTGATTCCCTCGACTTCGCCCACAAACTGACTCAGAAGAGGATGGCCCCGATGTTTTCTTCGAAGTGGAGCCTTCTCGCATGAACAGCTGACCTGGTTTTTAGATGGCCTGTTTTTCACGCCTCCATTGTTCGCTCCCATCATTTTCAAGGTTGTAAGAGGTGGAACGGACCGTGGTGCGGGGGAATGTGTTCGGTGCTAGCCGGTCGTGGCTTCGTTGGTGGCGGACTCTCCTCTTGTCACTCGCACGTCGATCGAGTCTACTGTTTCTTTGACATTAAGTTCAAATAAACGCCGTATGGATTACCTCATCATCGTCTGGTACGCACACTTTATTTCTTGAATCTGTTCTCTTTATTTCTTGAGTATGTTCCCTTTATTTCCTTTGGTAGAAGTGAACGTTACAGGTCGAGTTAGCGCAGGTACCCGGCCCGCTTCGCAATAGTGCGTTGGCTACGAAATCGGGCTCTCGACGGCTCTATCGGCCTTCGTGGTGGTCATGCACGGTGTCGAAAGCTTTACGCGACTGTCTTAGTGGGTACAAAAGATGATATTTCGCTCGATCAGGGGTGAGTTACGACGTTCTACGGGCTAAAGACTAACAGGACAGCGAACTTCGGGCTGTGGCGCCCGGAATAATAAACAAACTATTATCCGAACCAAATTGCCGCTGCAGACTCAAGTGACGGATGTGAACATCACGTTTCTTCGTTGATTTGTCTGCTGTCACGCTAGGACTACAGCGCCTTGGACGCTTCACCAGCGACAGGTGCCATCTTGTTTCGAAAGCCACCAACGTCACTTCAGCTACGCGTTGCGAATAATTGCCGCTTCACGGTCCGCGGAAGTGGTTGGGAGAAATCGGTCCCGAAGCGGTTGGCAAAAACGCGCTCGAACCGCTCGATCCCAGCCGCTTAGCGTTTGAGAACGCGCGGATCCGCTTCGCGTTTGCGGATCCGCTTCCAGTGTGAACGCGCCATTAGACAGGTTGATTCAGATTGACATTGAAAAGACGTTTGATCGACTGCGGCACGATGTTATTTTAAAAATACTGTCATACGTCAATGTAGGCACTGTTATTTCGACGGGTGTGGAAACGGCATACAAAGAGTGCTCAACCCCATTAACTGTCAATCATGCTGTAAACTAAAGTATTCCTCTTTTATCTTCAGGCAGGCAAAGCTGTCCACTTTGAACATTTTTGTTCGCGTTGTACATCGAATCATATAGTTTACGAGTCCAGGCTGTTCAAGGTATCCGTGAATTTGTGTTGGAATCAATGGAAACCATAGTTTTGGTGTACTCCGATGACGTAGCGATTTTTGTGTGAATGAAGAGAGCGTAAGCGAAGTGAAGGCTGTAACTAAATAATTTTGTGAAGTTATGTTGTCAATTGGGGGAAAAGTTTTAGAGTGTGGTATGGTGACTGGGCGACGAAACCTGAAAATTTGTTCAGTACTCTGAACAAATAGTTCGGAGTACTGATCAGATATAGCAATGGACCTAAATAGGAAGGCTACAAACAGGGATAACCGAGATCTGTCGGTATTCGCGCGAGCAACGATGTGCAAAATATTTCTGTTTGCAAAGATATGGTACGTTTTACAAGTATTACAGTGTTTGCGCACTAACATAACAGAAATTTCACAAGGTATTTGCTATATTTCTCTTGAGGTCCAAGTGAGAAAAATGAGGAGACAACCTGTTCCGCGCAATGAACGACGGTGGTGCCGGTCTATCGCATTTCTTTGTTCGACAACTCGTCTCTAGATTCGTATTTCGTCTCTAGATTCGTAAACTAAGCTTCCAAACTCTCTGCCGACTAGTTTAGTAAACAGCAAACCCAATGTACATACGCGTTTGTTGGGTTTCTTTTTTTTTTTTTTTTTTTTAGGAGTTTTGAGGTGTACCGTTATTTCTAAATGTAACATTCTCTCTGCAATACCCTGGTGCTGTCAGTAAAAAGAGGCTGTCCCGAGGACTTATAGAACTCTTGTTCCCATCACCCCTGCACCGCTCGCTGTATAGAGAGTGCTCAGGGCAGGATGTTCTCTGACGAGTGAAGAAAACGTTTGTTCATCCACCTGTTAACAGTTTTTTTCTTTAAACTCCACACTGACACGTTACCGGTGAAGACGTGGCTCAGGGAAAGAAGCATTTTTATTCCCTGGTTCGTTGATTGTATATTGTGCAAACAACCGGTGACTGTTAACATGCATTCATCCACTGCCGGGATGCAGTATTCTTTTGGGATGTTTGCAGAGGACCTTGAAGAAAGATTTATGTATAACTCCCCACACTCTTCTTTACCTCCCTGCAAACAGTGCTGACCTTTTACCGTATGATATGTTCCCTGCATTATGTTTGTATAATAATAATTATAATAATAATAATAATAATAATAATAATAATGTTTATTTTTTTTTTGCATGTATCATACTTGGTAGAAATACGTAATAATAATTACGACGGTAACGGTAATTACGACGGAGACGGTAATAATAATAATAATAAGAATATTTATTATTATTATTATTATTATTATTATTATTAAGGAACTTTATTTTCCATTTCAACACATAAATGAAGGAAACAAGGAAAAAAAGCTGTGAGAACAGCTTGACGGAGCTCCTTGCTCCCTTGTAGTATTCCATATGGGAATCCCGCATGGCCGTCAGGCACGCGGACGGTGACGCCAAAACAGTCAGGATGTACTTTGTCGAGGAGATTACGCAAGTAGAAATAGTGTTTTACCGGTCCGAAGTGACGGCACCCGAGTGGGCGGGGGTACCAATGACCTTCAACAGTTGAAGGAATTTTAGAGCACCCATAAGAGGCTGGGCGACAAAGTGCTGTCATCGCATGCATTTGAGGAAAATCGTGTTTGACTTACAGCGTTCCACAAAAAAGAAAAAAAAAGGTACCTCTGTGGTTGAGTCGGTAGCGTGTATAGCTCTCAACCAAAGGGTTGTGGGTTCGAATCCCAGATCCGTCTAAAATTTTTTGGATTATTTTCTTTAAGGCCAGTATGGGCCTAAGTTTCAAAAGTTTTAGAAAAAAAAAATCATTTTTCAATTTCGAGGTTTTTGGTTTTAGAAACTAGTTATACACCCTAACTCTAAATTTAATAACCATGCGACAAACAGTTACGTTGATATAAAATATTTTCAACACATTGTGAGGCAGTAACAAAGTAAAGGAGTTCAATGTTTGAATGCATTTTTCTCAGTTCCGCTTTTTGCTGCATATTTCATACAAAGGAATCTTTTGTTCGAAGGTAAAATTATTCTGATACCACAACCAAGATGTTTCTAAACTGAAATTTGCTGAAGAATCGGGCTATCTACTTTATTCTGTTTTAACTTTAAAGCCCTCTTTGAGCGAACTTGTTTTCAAAAATTAACATAGGACAGAAATGCATCTCATATTTTGAGGTAATCACTCTTCCTGAAATATTTACATTTGATTTATAAAAGCTAGATAGCCCGAAGTCTCACATCTCCCACTTTATATTCAAGCAGTTAAAATTATCCTTAATAGCTTCATTTGCATATCATAGATTTTTTAACAGAGTGACACATTTTCTTACGCAGGTATGTAAAATAGTCCTAGTGAGCTGAAAGTTTGCACAGTACATCTACATATGAAGTTAAATTTCCCCTGCAAATTTAATTCCGATCACATGAGTAGTTCAGAAGTTCAACCTCTAGCCAGTGTCCCCCCTTAAGGCAAATGAATAACATTATAAAGTTAAATCATTTGAGATTACATGTTATGTTTCAATTACGTTCATGCCACGCGTGACGTCACAGATCACGTGAGTGCTGTGGGTCGTTGGAAATTCCCGCGCGAAGTCACGTGGCTGTAACGTCATGACCCTATCGACCAATCAGAATTTTCCCGTCCGCCACCGACGCCCGAGGCCAGTTTTTCTCCAACGCAAACTCCTTAAAATAAAATAAAAAAACGCTTTAAAATGAAACGTTTTTTTTTTTTCTTTCTACCGCCGCACGAGTGCGGGCCACTGCCGGTCCTGATATGAAATGCCAACCCACATTGACGCACATCTGCTTCCTGTAGGAACACCTGCCCTGCTATTCCAAACCTGCAGTGAAAATACGGATGCTATCATTATCTACACAAACAGGAGCCTAAACACACGATGGGCTCTATCGTGGACTCGTTTTTCATGTATGCCTATCTGGCCGTATTGTATTTTGTACAAGGGGTCCCATACGGCGTGCAGGACAAGTTACTACCCCAATACCACCGTTCGGCAAGATTTCCCTACAGCCAGGTGACCTTAGCGCGCATTCTACTGTTACCCTGGCTCTGCAAGCCACTTTACGCGTCCTACATCGAGAAGCACTGGACCCAGAAACGATGGCTTCAGCTTTTTCTCCTCATTCTCATGGCGGTTACATGGGTCATGTCGTACTTCGGAGACCAAGTCTCTTATTTCATTGTCACGCTCCTGATCCTCAATATTGTGTCGGCGTCGCTGGACATCTCTGTGGACGGCGTTGCCATGGACGTTCTGCACGGGGCTCAGCTTTCGGTAGGCAACGCTGTACAGGTCGGAGCTTACAAAGCCGGCGCGATTTTTGGCGGTGGGCTACTCCTGGCTTTGCAGTTTCTTGCCGGTCTTAAGGGCGTTCTTCGGGGTCTAACTTTTGTCTATGCCATTGGCTTGATAGCGGTCACTTTTCGAAGCGACGGTGAGGAGAGTCAAGAAGAAGCTGACTCATCAGCGGCTGAAGCTACTGGTGAGGCTGCAGGGAACGATGGAGTCGAGGGTCTTCGGAGACGTAAGAGAGACCCCGAATCGTTAAAAACCGGCACGGCTAAGGAGGCCAAAGAAGACGATACCGTTGAGTCTACAGGACCACTGCCAGAGTCGTTCTTTGGAAAGGTCAAGTGGGTCTTGTCTGTCGAAGGTACCATGGGGCTTCTGGTCTTCCTGTTGTTCTACAAGTCGGGTGAGTTTAATCTTGGAAACGAAACGTCTTACAGTAGCCAACGGTCGGGAGTATAAGATATGTGAAGGTGTGCACAGTAATTTTTATGAATTATGCGCTTTTCCTTAATCACTTTTGCTAATCATACTTAATATCGTCTCGGCATTGTCTTTATGTTGTTTACTGCTTTCTGTTTTATCTATGAGCGGAGTGCCGGGCCCTTCCTGCATCCAAGCATATGGTGACTTGGGCGGGTCAAAGTTTCTCTCCTTCTAACGTCTTCTTACAAAAATACTTCTTTTTTTCTTTTCTATACCTTTGAGGTTAAGAATTACTCATTGTTGTGGAATGGCTTGCATGCCTCAAGCTGAGTTGCACAGGTGTAGTGTGGTTGGTCATTGGTCATGACACCCATGTACCCTCCTTGGTGTTTCTTCTTCAGGAGAGTATGGTATCCTCACTACTTATCCGTCCTTCCTGCTTGAACGAGGATACTCCTACTTCACGGTCGGCTTCCTCAACGGAGTGTTTGCTGAAGTGCTGTCCGTGTTCGGGTCGCTCTTGGGTGGCTACATGTCTCGCCAGACAAGGTGGGTGTTTAGGCCAACACATTACACTTCTCGCGAAGCATCACAGGGTGCAGTGTCACACGAATGTTCAGAATCTGCTTTAAAGGGACTGTAAACGATGGTCACACTTTTGTTTCCTAGCACTTTCAGAATAAACCATGGGCAGAACTCATGAAGCAGGTATCGGCTCTTATTCACAAATAAATATATCTTGTAAAACAGCCTGAGAGGACATTTAAAGTCCTCTATACCCATTGACTACCCGCGACTACCTCTATACCCATGAAAGCTACCAGCAAATACCATAGATAATATCTTCAGTCCTTCTTGTGGAGGCGGAAGAGGAGACATTCTTAACTTGGGTCATGAAAATTTTGAGGTTGAAAACTGGAATGTTAGACGTAGAAAACGTTTTGCAGTCCATGCCAACAAGAAAAACATTTATAAATTTTGTTTTGTTTTTTGGTTTAATTTTTTGGTGTTGTACCCACTGGTGACACTGGTGTTTGTAAAATCATTCATTGGTATGTCCTACATCCTTGTCACAAGAGTTCTCTTACAGGGTCTGGTAAGACCTATAAGTAACTTAACATTGTACAGATGTGCTTCGTTTTTATGCTAATTTCGTTTGGGCTTGTTCTAAGCCTTTGATTGGCTTCGTGTATAAAGGTATTTAATTATCATTGTAAGGTAAGGAAAGCTGCATGTATGCTTGCAATCCTGTTTTCTCCATATTAAGCTGTGAACGACGCTGGCATTGTGATATGGCGGCATGGCATGCTGCTACATCACAATGAAACCGATACTGGCATTGCGACGTGGCTTCCTGACGTTCCGCCACGTCGCAATAACAGTGACGGTTGCTACGGTAACCATCGTGGCATGCCTGTTTTCATCACGCGTCTGTTTGCCGCTTTATTTCATAAATATAATGGGGCCTCGTCTTTCTTTTGCTCGGCCAGCTGCTTCATGCTGTGACACCATTTAGCGAGTTGTTCAATGAACCGCCCCCACGTGTGCAGGTGTAAGCTAACGGAAGGTAGTGTATAACTACACACCGACGTTTTTGCGGTGATAGCCTTTATTGGTAAAGTTTCGTAGTGTAACCCGGAGCGCGTTTGTCTGTAGGTTGTAACCCGTTAGTCTAAGTGGGGACGTGACATTATGATGTCACAAGTTCCCCGCTAAATTTAGTAAGAAAGCTTTTTTTGGTAAATTTAGAGAGAATATGTTTTCTATGTTTTTTCATCCTCAGCGTAGATCACTCTTTCCATACTTCAAATGCTGACTGACCTTTCGCTGTCTAAACACAAACAACAAATTTGGATGGGTTTTATTGACAAGAAGTAGATAAAACTAGTTCGTGTTAGTAACTAAATAATTCCTTAATTGCAATTAAATTTCGTTAACTATAACTTGGATACATTTCTTGAGCATGTTGCAACCTAGCTTAATTGGTCTCTTGTCAAAGTTCTGTTGGCAAGTAGACAAATTAGAAATGATTTATTCCCAATGTAATTTCCTTAATTGTCGCCATACTAAGCACCACTATGTGCACACGAACCTTTTGACGACTTACCCGGGCACCAATGATAACGCTGGGGATGTAGGCACATCTTCTGCGTGTGCTCACCTTACATGTACGAAAATTTAAAATTAAATTACAGAATGGAGTTTTTAGAAATGTACATGTACAATGTCGTCTGGTTAAGATGTTTATACAGAAAGGCTGCAGTTTGCAAGTGTCACCACCTATTGCACATTTAGCTACAGTTGTGGCACTCTCCTTGGCTTTAGCGAAATGTTTTTGTTCGGTATATGCCAGTTGTTGAGCACGTTTGCAGGGGTATGGCTGCAGTCTGATGGACGTTGCGGTAATATGTTCTGCAGGGACAACACAAAGCTCCTGCTGAAGATGTGTTTCGTGAGGGTCTTGCCTGCCGCCCTTATCTTTCTGACCAACACCAGGCTGTTTGGAAAACCGTCCAACGTTTGTGAGTATCTAGTTGCTGTACCTACTACTCTCTCGTAACTGTATTGATTATCCGGATGTCCGTTCCCACAGTGTTTGACCAATGGATAGCACTGTGTAAGAGTGTTGTCCGAATTGATGTACAGTGGCTCCAAGCGTTGATCTACAGGCGGAATAGCACCCTAAACACACCAATCCCTGACGCGTTGCGGTCACCATACTCATACTGTTTACAAGCTCAATCTCTTTCTCTATTTTGACGGAGGCATGGTATTTGGAGTGAGTCCTCTTGGAAATTGCGCAAATTATAAAGGGTGGGCGTAGTATTGGAAATTTATCCCCGTAGATGTTTGGCGAGAAAAAACGGGTTGAGCAACCTCTCGGGGAAGCTAAGGAGTTCATGTGGGATTTTACGGTAGTGCTTTAGGCCCCGCTGTAGCACAAAAATGCCATCTCATTTTTTTTTTCTGGAACAGTGAAGCGATAATAGGAAAGGTTTTACGGTAGTAGAACCACGCAAAAGCAGAAATTCAAAATTTCTACCATAAAGAGTGTGCCGTCTCTGGGTTGTATGAGCATTGCTACATGGTTCTTCAGTGTATGCTAGTCGCGCAAACTTCATTTTGAAGGTAAGCTCATCAGTCGCCCATTGGCTGCTGCTCCACTGGACGAGCTGTGACGTTACAGTAAAGTTGTGGCGATAAAGATTGATGTATGCTCGTCAGAATTGTAAAGTTTGCCATGACGTCAGGATGTTGTCATGATGAACTTGTTTTTGGTGAAGAAACCTTCGACAGTTTGGGAGCTCAAAGTTTGAAGAGTTATTAGTAAATACAAAGAAGCAAAAAAGAAAACGCGACCCCACAGTGAAAAAAAAAATGAAGACCATGTGATCAAGAATGTGTTTTTAATAATAAGAAAGTTTATAAGTCAGCGCCTTGTCATGTCCGTTCTCCCCTCTGTGTCCTTGTATTTTCGCGCTGTGTAAAAAGGACAGAACTGTGCTGTGCGCTATTGCTATGTCGGCAATCCGAGCGCACATTTTGCGAGTACCTAGAGGCCGTTGAGTTTTCCGAAGACAGGTTCGTCGAAGACTACTGTTTAACGAAGGTTAATGTTCCTCGCTCCTCAAAATTTATGAAGTTGCAAGTTAACAAGTTCCGTGAACTGCCACGTCGCTGTGAAGATGAAGTTGGGTGCTTGTGAAATTATGGCTCCTCGCTTATGAGCCACGTCACGATGAACTTAGTTTATGCGGAGAGCAAGTCGTCGGCTTCTTGCGCAGGAGTGGCGGTGACGTCAGAACGACTACGAGCTCTGATTGGCTTCGATTTAAGGATAGTGGGTAGACCTCAAAACAAGGTACCTTGATGTCTACCCACTATCCTTCAATCAGAACCGATCAGAGCCCGGCGTTCTGACGCCATTGCAAACCCCTGCAAAAGAAGCAGACGAACTTGCGCTCCGCGTAGGTTTGACCAGCATAAACACACAGTGCGCCACTTTCCAGTAGCAGAATGGAGAATTTCAGCTACAGTCGACTATTGGGAGCGTGCAACACCTAAATGGGGCTCGACGGCGTCGGCGTGAGGACGCGGAGAGACGCGCCACCCGCTCCGACCTCTTTTAATGCGCCGGTGGCATCTTGGCCGCGTCTGCACCTTCGCCCAGGTTTGACCAGCATAGACACACAGTGCGCCACTTTCCAGTAGCAGAATGGAGAATTTCAGCTACAGTCGACTATTCGGATCGTGCAACACCTAAATGGGGCTTGACGGCGCTGGCGTGAGGACGCGTAGAGACGCTCCACCCGCTCCGACTTCTTTTAATGCGCTGGTATAGCATCTTGGCCGCGTCTGCGCCTTCTCACGGTCGTGATTCTCGACCTCGCTTAGAAGTAAAGGTTTCACACCTTCATATTCGAAACATTACCCGCGTCATGCGTTTCTGGGTATTTGCTCTCATGTCATTCGAGTTGCGTGAGCTGCTCGGAGCTCGGATTAAATCGTGTTTCCCTCGGTTGAGAGATGCAACGACGGCGACGCACCGCCATATATTTCGTTCTTCAGCGCTGGAATATGCCTCTACGAAGCTCTTATGTTTTTGAACGATCCGTACACCACTACGTGACGACATTAGACAGTACCAGTGATTGATAAAATCAACATAAGAAGTATCATGTTGACGCCAAAACAACAAGGACGAAAACGAAGGGATAACTGGACAGGACGCGGCGTAACTTTCAACAGAATGGTTTATTTCGAAGACACAATTTTGAAGCTATAAAAGCAGGCGCACTTGGCAGAACACAAAGATATGGTCTAAAAACACACACCCCTCAAATTCCAGCGTAATTGGTTCTTCAAATAGTAGAATCCCCTCAAATCCTTTCGCAGAATTTTGCCAGTTTTGCCCCTGCATCGACATACCATGGAAGAACAAACGAAAAAAAAAAGACGTTTACAACTCCCTGTAATGCCGAATTAGAGCGCAGCTCTTGAGGAGGAGGAGGGAAGGGTACGGAGCAGAGGGTATGCCCCTCCTCCTCCTCCATACCCTCTCCTCCTCCTCTCATTCTCCTCCACCCTTCTTTCTCCCCCTCCCTCCCCCTGCCTCGGTTACGAGCGACGTCTCTCGTGACCCTAGGGACCCTCGTGACGTCACGTGTGACGTCGTTATGGGGAACGTCCCACAACGCAACGCGCGGTTACGCTCAAGCCGGAAACGGGCGCCCAAGAGCTCCGCTCTAAAATGGGTCACGGAATATTTGAACTAGGTATAAAAGAATGCGACAATAACTTACCTGGAGTAAACAGACTCGCCAAGACCTGGTGCTGCTGGGCCGAGTGGTTATCTGGAGGAGGGACGACTAGAACCAGGCACGGGACAGAACCCCAGACTCGCGTGGACGTTGGCAGGCGATGCAAAAAAAGCTATAGAAACGAAGTTGTAAGCCGGTTACAACCGCCCCGTTGCCATAGCAACCCGTGAAAGTATTAACGTCGCAAGCCGTTGCAGTCACACTCGATCGGACTCACGCAAGTGTGTGAACCGGCCTTTAGTTCCTCAGGGCATACCGGAGCGACGTGGCCAAAATGGGGAGACCTGGGATACCTCCTCAGTATGAACCAAAGCGCTGCAGGAATGGTAGTGTCACAGCCACCACATCGAGTTGCAGTGTAAAGGGAAAACAACCCCTCATTTGAGGGTTGCAAAGGAGTGCGCCTGTTCGATCTAGTCATCCTTAACGGGGCTCCCGGGTCGCGGTAATTAACAGATTGTACTGACGATTCACAAAAGAACCGGCCATGAGCGGTGGTGATCACCCTCTGAAGAAGTTGGGGGCTGTGTGGGTGTATAAGAAGAGAGGAGGGGAAGGGGAGGGCGGAGAGATTGGAAGTGAGTGAGTGTTGGAGACAGGAAATCAAAGGAAGTGTTGCTTGACCAGTGGTCGAGTGTGCCACTATTGGGAAGATTGGGAGTCAGGCGTTCGCTTTTGGAAAATGCAGTTCCGCGAAACAAAAATTCACACCAAGCCGTCAACACAACCGACTCGAGGACCACCAAATATAGACCGCGTGTAAACGATTCGGGGAGCCACGAGACAAGCGACGGCGACCCGCTTCGCTCTCGCTTGGCCAATCGCGCGACGACGCAAACCGCATGAAAGCAACGGGACCAAGTGACCAGACGCGGTGAGCGACGTTTTCTAATAAATCAAAACCCGAGCGACGCGACGTGCGAGAGTGAGAAATTTCCGTCGCTCGGCGCTGACTCTCATCGCTGTCGCCGTCGGTCATCTCGTCTCTCGCTAACTCGCTTACATGCGGTTCAGTTAAGTCTCACCACACCCCACACACAGAAAGAGGGGCGTCAGAGACCGACAAGTCACTGCTGGCTTTGGCTTTTCTTTCACAAGTGACATCCCGAGCACATAATTGAGAGCTCGCCACCTACTCCCCCTTTTATTGTATCATCGCTGGCTCATATGGGTACAAAAAAATATAACAAAAAATATTAGGAGCTTTTTTTCATAAAAGACATTGATCACTGCAGTCCATCTAGCGGGAAGAGCAAAAATAACCTTTGACGTCTGTGTTTATTGACGCTATTGTCCCCACTCGTCATGAGCAACCTCCGGCTTAAGAAATCCAACTTGTCAACGGGTCCGCCCTCAACTGCTCTCTTACAAAATATGCCAATTTTTAAATAACGATGGATGTTTCCGAGTAAGACTAAATTTGATCAGGTGAATGCAAGCCCCAGATAGAGGTAGCAGATAGCACGCTAAAATCGATTTTTATTGAACCCTGGAATAGAGCTTACGCACCACGAGAACCAAGTTGTGTTCTTAAGTGTAGGTGTCGATAGCGAAAACTATCGTAGGTGAAGCGATAGATAAATGGCAAATGCCAGAAAAATAAAGCATGGCCAAAAATTCACTACTTCCAAAAACATATAATCTTAATTTATTGTCAACTTTAATGAATCAGTAGGTAGGCCAATCAGCAATTGTCCCTGGAAATCAATTGTAATTGGGGTTCTGTATGTGTGGAGTTTGTTTTTGGGGGTATAGGTATTTCGTGGTGTGCTCTTTTGATACGTCTGGAGTATTTTGTTTTGTTTTTGTAAGTTCGGTATTATTCCGAGTGAACTTCTAAGCTTTTTCAAGCTGTGGTTTCTTTCCTCGTACACTCATTTTGGAGCTTTCTGCCTTTCTAACATATTACATTTTCTGAATCCCGAAAAAAAAAAAAAAAAAAAGACTGCTTATAAAGGAATCTAAAATATCAATGAGAGAGTACGCCTAAGGTAGGTCGATGGGTTGTTAAACTGTACCATATTTTATTCAAAGTCTCGAGACACTGCGGACGCACTTTCCTGCCTTAACTACTTCTGAGGCTTTAGTGAGTTGGGCGAAGCTTGCCCTCTATGTGTTTTGACAGCATTTTCATTGTCATTCTAGAGTTGTTTTTTTTTGCAATTCTTACTCATTCATGTACACCCGTATCGCAAACTGTGATAAATGAAAAAAGGACTAGTGGTTCCTTCGTGCCTGGTTCACGATTTTCGAGTTTTGCATCCGCGGGCATGGGTCGCTATAGTCGAGAGCCGCCATATTCTTTTATGGCGAGCCTTTTTACGCAGTTGAGCAGAACTGCAAGCAAACCTTGGTTGTAAAAATGTCGCTGCTGATCTTCTGTTAGAATGCGTGACTGTTAAACATGGACATATGAAGGCAGGCCTTATTTTTGGATATTATATACAGGGTGCGGCCGTAAAAACTTTCAAAATTGGCACGCCTGGCAAAAAACGAATTTCAAACGTACATACCTCAAATTGGGCACTCGAACGTCGTTTATTCCAAAGTTTTTTGCCTATTTTTTTTAGACGTCAACTCTAGTGTAGCGAATTATTAGAAAGATAACAAAAATGGCAGACGTGCATTTCCTATGGCTTACACCCGCCCGTTCGCCGTCTGCTATCTAATTCGCGACGCCGCTCCCAGATGGCGCACTGAACGCAAAAACGCGGGAAACGCCGCACGAAAGGCTGGTGTCGGGTGAGATAATCGCGATAAAAAGTGATTTTACCGAACTATGTGAACGATTATGCCCTTTTACTTGAAATTTAGAAACTGGCGGACGCCCTCGTTTAATGAAAATATGTTCTAAAGCAGACGAACGTGTGTCTTCCTTTGTCGTCTGCTTATCTGTTGACGGGTCCGTTCCCGGTTGTACTATCTTCTGCAGTTATTATCAAAATATTTTGATAATAACTGCAGTGATGCCGCAATACTTGGCAAGTGAGTGTGCCCAGGCAGTCAAGTGATACGTGGAGCGGAACTCGGTGGCCACAGTACCACGAAAACTTCTCACTGCATTTCATAAACGCCCGCCTTCACGCCCGACTGTTTTGAGTTGGGCGGATCGTTTTGTGAGTGGAGAAGACTTTAAAAAGAAGAATCCAGTCAGTGAACGTGAGACCCTGCTGAAAAATGAGGAGCTCATTTAAGCGGTGCTTGCTGTCTTCGAGAGCGACCCGCAACTGTCAACAAGACGAGCAGCTGTAAATTAAATTATCTCGTCGCATTATGGTGTCTTCTTGCTTGCATGACGATCTGTCAGAACTTTACTTGAAACAGGTAATCTCAACAATCGTTCATATATTTCGTTCAAATCACTTTTTATCGCGATCATCTCGCCCGACACCAGCCTTTCGTGCGGAGTTTCCCGCGTCTTTGCGTTCAGTGCGCCACCTGTTAGCGGCGTCGCGAACCAGATAGCAGACGGCGAACGGGCGGGTATAGGCCATAGGAAATGCACGTCTGCCATTCTTGTTATCTTTCTAATAATTCGCTACTCCGTAGTTGACGTCTGAAAAAATAGGCAAAAAAACTTTGGAACAAATGACGTTCGTGTGCCCAATTTCAAGTATGTATGTTTGAAATTCGATTTTTGCTAGGCGTGCCAAATGTGAAAGTTTTTTACGGCCGCACCCTGTATTTTTGTAAACTAAAAGCAACTTTTTTTTTTCTTTGCGTTATCCGTAATTCAGGAATAAAGGAGGGGCGACACAGAGATGTATCATGGCTTCAGGGTGTGTCGTTCCCTTTTTTGTCCTCGTTCTCAAATATCGAAAGTACGTCAACGTGCGTTTATCGTCTCTATAATTCTTATTACGGGAAAGTTCCGTGGACAACTGAATGGGCCAGACCATTCTTCAACGAGGAGGATAGGCTCGAGCCCCTCCTTACTTCTCCCGCGTCTGTGTTGTACATCTCCGACCCTATCGACAAAGGGGGGGAGGCTCACAGGAGTAATTTTCGGGGAGGAAGAGGGAAACCTGACCCCCCCCCCCCCCCCCCCCCGGCCCACCGCCGGGATTTACGCAAGTGCACAGGGGTACCACAAAAACTCGCACACTGTTTTGTTTTGTTTTTTTCTTCCAGATGTGGGTGTGAGCTCCATGCTCTTCCTGAACTTCATCAGCGGCATGATCACGACGGTGGTGTTCACCATCATGATGAGGCGGTCCCAGCAGGTGGCCAAGGGCTACAAGACCACTCACTTCTCGTTCCTCTGCACCGTCGAGGTGCTCGGGAAGCTGGCCTTTTCCATTCTGGTGGGCCCTTGCATTGACCTGATCGGGAAACCTGCCACCTACTTTGTTATGACGGCATTTACGGCTTTCAGTGTTGCCACGGTGAAGTATGTCAAGTGATGCGCTGTGGCCATGGTCCGTTGTTCGTGTACTGTGCTACAGGATGGGCGCAAACACGATGCCGGTACTTTCCGCATTTTCCTGATCTAAAATCCTGAGGCGATTCTTGGAGCAAAATTGGACCTCACTAGGCACAAAGATTCGAGGCATATGCCAATAAATGCACTATTAGAGAGTGACGTGCAAAATACTAACATGCAAGATATTTTATACAGAAAAAGTACGCACATCAAGAAAAATAACTATCAATGGCATCACGAAAATCGGCAGCCTCAAAAACGCTAGAAGGTAGAGAGTTCCACCCCGAGATGGTGCGAGGAAAGAACAAAAGTTTGAAACAATTAGTGTGTGCAAAGATTGGCGTTAATGAATATTGATTATGGTGCCTCGTAGGTCGTGACATCGACGGGATGAGGTGATTATGTGTACCAAGCCGTACGTTGTTTCGTACCATAAGAAATACAAAAATTTTGCCTGGAGAGCTTCCTACGTAGCTCAAGTGTATATAGCTATGCCATTCGTTTCCATAAGGTGGGATGGAGAGTAATATTTTAAATCTTCCATAGACGAATCTAGCCGCGCGTCTTTGAGCCATTTCTAGCTTCAAAATGTGTGTGTGTGTGTGTGTGTGTGTGTTTTTTTTGTTTTTTTTTTTTTGGCGGCCGTTTTTTTTTCCGACGTGCAAGGCTTTCTCAGTATAGAAGAGGCTATGGTATTACCCACCGTTTACAAATACACGAACGGGGCTGTGTGAAGATGCACAGGGATGCGTCAAGGACTTTGTACATGGCATCAAGGACTTTGCGTACAAACTTCTGCTCAATTGCGGGCTCCACTTTTTGGGCCAGAAAGGTAGGTTCGTTAATGACCGCCTCTTAGAACACAAAAGTGTGAGAAAAGTACATCCGTCATCAGAACTAGCCAAACTAGAGTGCCTACATGTTTCCGCCTCTCCGAGCGGAAACATGTAGGCACCCTAAGCCAAACATATTGCTGAATGTAATGCGTGCTCGCCATGATGGGAAGCAGCTTCACTCTTACGTAAAGAAAGTGATTCTTTTAAAGTTTAAGTGTGAGTAATCTCGAAAACTGCAAGCCAGCCGCCCATAGTGCTGAACGAAGCGTGAAAAGGTTTTTCCTGCTGTGAGTTTTTATGTTGGTAGCGTTGTAGAGCTGTGGGTCGAGACTTTTTTTGCTGTGTTTACATATCTTTGACGGAGAATATAATGTCGGGTCGCTTGGCGGCGGGTATTTGCCGTTGGTGCGGTGTCCAAGTTGGAGTTCAGTCTGTCTGGCTGAGTTCCTCCAAAACTTTGCGGCAGCATGTCTTTTGTCTTCTCTCTTTCCTCTCCGTGGGGATGGCTCTATATTGATGTTTTCTTGCGAATAAACTCAACTGCGTTTGATGCTTTGCGTCGTCTTGTTAGTTATTTTATTTCTCAGTTCCTCAGTGTTTAGATTACGGTTGCCTGAGTGTCGTTATTATGTAGCGTGGCTTGTCTAGTCTCTGCTGGTTGAAATATTTTCTCTGTTCGTGACAGAGCTAAAAAACATTGCGGCGAAAACGAAACGCATACGTTCCCGGATACAAAAAATATTGTCTCGACTTTCCTCTCTGAGGTTACGCACGGTGGCAGAGGTCGTTATTCTGAGCTGCGAGTAAAGCCGGGGCCACACTGCTTATACACCGTGCATACAAAAGACAGTCTGCATACAGATTCGAATGCGAGTCACTGTGGAATCCGTGCTTCGAATGCTACACAGCAATGAGTTCAAGGAGGAAACTTGGCACGCGGCATTCGAACCCCAGATATTGCGGTGGCGGGAGGCACTCACTTGATCGAATGACGTTTTAGCGAACGCCCACGTTTCGCCGAATGACACTTTAACGAATAGTCGGACGCCGCGAAGCGGCGTTTTCGGGTGGGCCAAATGGGTTCACATTTTTGTAATGAGCCGCCGCAGACTGTCGCCGCGAAGCGGCGTAAGCGCAGCGCGGCGGATGGGTTAACGCGCGCCCCCGTAATTCGCTAAAACGTCGATTCGCTCAAATGTCGCTGTTCGCTAAAATGTCATTCATTCATTCATTCATTTATTGTACCCTTCTTCAAGGGCATTACATAAGGGGGGGGGGGGGGGGGGGGTCATACATGAAAAAATACAAAAACAAAGCACCTGGGCCCGTTTGCTCGAAGCGCTAACCGCGGCTAAAGTTAGCCGCAGTGCCTAGGAGAGGGATTTTGAGATCACGTGACTGGGCCCGGTAGGGATGCGGGGGTAACATATGGCGGTGCCCCAGTGAGTGAGCGCCGCTCGCTTTGGAACTAATATGTCGTTGTAGCTGCAATATCGGGCGCGTTAGTCATCAACGAATAATGCAGGAGGCTTTCTCTTTGCCTTACCTCACTTAAACCGCAAAGCATGGGCAATGAAATCGCCGCATTTTTTAGATAGTGTTTCGATTCTGGGCATCCCTAAGCCTAAATGAACGCGATAATTGTCGGCATGGCAACGTCTCCGGAAAGCGGATTGTTGATAGCACACAAAAGCAGACAGCGTCCCGACAGAATTTTTTCTAAATTATCCAAGCACCGATCGGTGCATGCTACGACTGTAGTTGCACGCGTCGCGCGTGCTGGTGTCTGCAGTAGTAACCGTTCTAAAGCAAAAAGTATAAAACAGATTTTGCCTTGCACGCGCGTTCGTTGAAGTCTTATTATGATTTTTTACTTCGAATCTTTTTTAAGAGGAAGGCCAGCGCGCGTGAACCGTAGAACTACACATCCAGCGTTCTCCTCGCGATGCTTGGATAATTTAGAAAAAATTCTGTCGGGACGCTGTCTGCTTTTGTGTGCTATCAACAATCCGCTTTCCGGAGACGTTGCCATGCCGACAATTATCGCGTTCATTTAGGCTTAGGGATGCCCAGAATCGAAACACTATCTAAAAAATGCGGCGATTTCATTGCCCATGCTTTGCGGTTTAAGTGAGGTAAGGCAAAGAGAAAGCCTCCTGCATTATTCGTTGATGACTAACGCGCCCGATATTGCAGCTACAACGACATATTAGTTCCAAAGCGAGCGGCGCTCACTCACTGGGGCACCGCCATATGTTACCCCGCATCCCTACCGAGCCCAGTCACGTGATCTCAAAATCCCTCTCCTAGGCACTGCGGCTAACTTTAGCCGCGGTTAGCGCTTCGAGCAAACGGGCCCAGGTAGGGTGCCTTCATGTGCGCTTTGCTTAGGGTGGTGGCATCTCGCCATTTTGTCACACACGTTTATTTTTATTTTTTGTTCAGAAGCGCGTGCCAGAGCGTGTCCCTGCACGCGCTTGTGGCGCTGACTGTGCTATGGCGACATTTTGTTTTCGTCAATTTCTTTGTATTTTTCCCGTGAGCGCGTGCTGTCGGCATGTGGTACTACAAAGGGTGGCATCACCCTAAACAGAAGGACATTGAGGCACCCTAGGCCCAGGTGTTGCAGCTAACAATGCTGCACTTGCATAAGATGTGAAAAAAATACAATGATTGATTCTTAGTAAAAACGTGAAATTATAGCATCACAAAACAAGGTGGGGTCATCAATGGCCACTATATCAGGTGGCAGGTCGTTCCAGTATATGCTGGTCTGTGGGAAGAAAGATTGGTTAAAATAATTAGTGCGACTAGAGTGCCTTCATACACACGTGCGCTTTTGCTTGAGTGGTGACATCTCAGCCATTTTTCAGCCCAATCGTTTTTTTATGCATTTTGAAGTGCGCGCAATCCGGTGACACTCAGCTCGAGCGCTTAGCTTTGGCTAATGCATAGACGCCATTTTACCACCCAAGTCACGCACCGAGTGCGCGAGAGCGTCACGCGCTAGCACTTTTAGGGCAACAATGGATGTCTTCACCCTGAGACAGACAGACATGTAGGCACCCTAACCGCTCATTCACACTGGAAGCGGATCCGCGTTCGCAAAGCGGTTGCGAACGCGGTTGTATAAAGATCCAGTACAATTGCACGCGCACTCGATGGCATCGGGTGCGCGTGCAATTGCACTGGATCTTTATACAGCCGCGTTCGCAACCGCTTTGCGAAGGCGGATCCGCTTCCAGTGTGAATGAGCGGTAAGCGCGACCAGTGATCCGCGACACATGGCATGAGTGGTTTAGCCGTAATGATGATCTGCTAGGAGGAAGAAGCAGTGAGGAACGTAGTATTGGGTGAAAATGGTAAACCTTATGAAACAAACTTAAGCGTGTTATTTTACGTCGTACGTTGAGAGTTTGGATATCGAGCTGACGTTTGAGAGATGAAACACTAGTCGTTGGGAAATAGTCGTTTAGGATAAATCTCACAGCACGATTTTGGATGGACTCAAGATGGCTGATGAGATAGGCTTGGTGTGGGCTCCAAATGGCTGATGCGTATTCCAATTTCGGTTGCACATATGTTTCGTAGCCCAATTGTCGTAAGTGATAGAGCGCTTCTTTCAAATTTCGTTTGATGTACCCCAGAGTCCGGGAAGCTTCTGCCACAATAGTTTCGATGTGGTTATTCCAGATTAGATCACTTGTCAGCGTTACACCGAGGTATTTATAATAAGATGTAGAGTCAACTAGGTCGGAGCCAATAAAATATGAAAAGTTGCTTGTTGTTTTTTCCGAGTAAAGCGAACCAGCTTGCATTTTAACATATTCAGTGACATGAGCCATTTGGAGCACCAGGCATAAATTAAACTTAAATCACTTTGAAGCTGAAGATGGTTATTGTGAGAATTAATTTTGCGATACAGAACACAGGCATCCGCGAAGAGGCGGATGCTAGACGTGATTGAGTTAGGTAAATCGTTAATAAATGTTAGAAACAGTAAAGGTCCAAGCACGGATCCCTGAGGAACCCCAGAAGTGATGCGACTGCAGTTTGATTTATGGTCGTTAGCAACAGTGAACTGGGTACGAGAAAAAAGAAAGTCACGTATCCAGGAGGCAGCAAGAGGGTCAATGCCAAGACAAGAAAGTTTATCGATTAGGCGATGATGAGTAACCCTGTCGAATGCCTTCGAGAAATCAAGGAACAAGGCATCTGTTTGGCTTAGTGAGTCAGTATTAGTGAAAAGTTCATGAGTGAACTCTACAAGTTGCGTTTCGCACGAGAAGCCCCTCCGAAAGCCATGCTGGCGATTGTAAAAAAAAAGTCGTTTTCTTCTAGGTGGGAAATAACGTAAGAAAATATTACATGCTCAATAAGTTTGGACGCAATGCAGGTTAATGAAATGGGACGGTAGTTCGAGGGCAGCTTACGATCGCCGCTTTTAAAGACTGGAACGACCTTGCCCAGCTTCCAGTCCAAGGGTAAGCAACGGTCCAGTGACTGAGAAAAGATCAATTTAAGACACTCACTAGATGTAACTTTGGTATTGCTAAGAATTTTCGGGTTTATATTATCGGGACCACAAGATGACGCTAGTTTTAATCTTTCTATGAGGTGAAGTATTCCATCGGCTGAAACGTCAATGAAATCCATAGGTACGAAGTCGGACAAGGGTAAACATGGAATATCAGTGGTATTTTCACAGGTGAACACAGAAGAGAAATAATTATTTAATACAGTAGCGCAATGGAAGCTCGGATACAGCCACTCCATTTTCGTCCTGAAGATGAATCGAATGAGTGCCTCCAGGCGAAAATATTTTCCAAAACTTTTGGGGATTAGAGCGCATAATTCTTGGTAAATCTAAAGAGAAAAATTTCTGTTTTGACGATCTAATACTTTTTGTATAAGTTTTGAGGCACGCAAAGTATTCATTCCAAACAGAGTTAACGTTCGCTCATGTGATATGGACCCAGACAGTAAGGTACGTTGCTGGGTTAGTTGGTTCATCTTAGTTAAACATATAAAATAGCGCAAAAAAAAGAAAAAAAAGAAAAAAAGACAGGGACACGAAGTAAAAGCGTAAAAGCTCGAGCGGCACCTTCAACTCGTACATGCTCTCATTTTAAACTTCGTGCCATTTAACTTGGCTGCGGCTTGTGGCGTCATCTAGTATCTTAGATTGCAAACGTAAAACAAAAAGCTTAGGCTGATTCCCGGTAGGGGTCACAGCCTGTAAAAAACAAAAAATGGCGCCGTCCTATGCTTTTCCTTCTTCCGCTACACGAATGCAGGCTACAGCTGGTCGTGGTATGAAGTTTGAACCCACGCTGTCGCACATCTGTTTCTTGCAGGAACACCTGCCCTGCTGTTCCAACCGTGCAGTGAGAACACGGGTGCTATCATTATCTTGACAAACAGTAACCTAGCCACACGATGGCCTCTGTCCTGGACTCGTTTTTTACGTATGCCTATCTGGCCGTATTGTATTTTATACAGGGTGTCCCATACGGCGTGCAGGACAAGCTACTACCCCAGTACCTCCGTTCGGCAAGATTTGCCTACAGCCAGGTGACCTTAGCGCGTATCCTACTGCTACCCTGGCTCTGCAAGCCACTTTACGCGTCCTACATCGAGAAGCACTGGACCCAAAAACGATGGCTTCAGCTTTTCCTCGTCACTCTCACCTCGGTGACATGGATCATGTCGTACTTCGGGGACCAAGTCTCTTATTTCATTGTCACGCTCCTGATCCTCAATATCCTGTCTGCGTCGCTGGACATCTCCGTGGACAGCGTCGCCATGGGCATTCTGCAGGGGGCTCAGCTTTCGTTGGGCAACGCTGTCCAGGTCGGGGCTTACAAAGCTGGCGCGATTTTTGGCGGTGGGCTGCTCCTGGGTTTACAGTTTCTCGCCGGTCTTAAGGGCGTTCTCCGGGGTCTGACTTTTGTCTATGCCATTGGCTTGATAGCGGTCACTTTTCGAAGCGACGGTGAGGAGAGTCAAGAAGAAGCTAACTCATCAGCGGCTGAAGCTACTGGTGAGGCTGCAGGGAACAGTACCGGTGAAGGCGATGGGGTCGAGGGTCTGTGGAGACGTAAGAGGGACCCCGAATCTTTGAAAACTGGCAAAACTAACGAGACCAAGGAAGACGACAATGTTGAGTCCCCAGAGCCACTGCCAGAGTCGTTCTTTGGAAAGGTCAAGTGGGTCTTGTCTGTCGAAGGTACCATGGGGCTTCTGGTCTTCCTGGTGTTCTACAAGTCAGGTGAGTTTAATCTTGGAAACGAAACATCTTCTAGCACACAACGGTCGGGGGATTAAGACGTGGGAGGGGGTAGACAGTAATCTTTTCTTTGTATCATGCGCTCCTTCTCAAACACTTTAGCGAATAAAACCTAACGTCGTCCCGGCATTGTCTTTCTGTAAACTGCTTTCACTCTTACCCATGAGCGCAATGCCAGGCCCTCCCTGCAATCAAGCATACTATTACTTGGGTGGGCCAAAGTTTCTCTCTTTGTAATGTTTTCTTACAATTGTACTTATTTTACTAAGAACAACCAAATGATTATCAGAATGGTTTGCATGCATTAAGCTGAGTTGCACAGGCGTAATGTGGTTGGTCATTAGTCATACCACCCGTGTACCCTCCTTGCTGTTTCTCCTTCAGGAGAGTATGGTATACTCACTACTTATCCGTCCTTCCTGCTTGACCAAGGATACTCCTACTTCACTGTCGGCTTTCTCAACGGAGTGCTTGCTCAAGTGGTGTCCCTGTTTGGGTCACTGTTGGGTGGCTACATGTCTCACCAGACAAGGTGAGAGTTTAGGTTGACACATCACACTTCTTGAGAAGGATCACAGAGTACAGTGTCACACAAATGGTCAGAATTTGTGTTAAAGGGACTGTGAAACTATGGTCACTTTTGGTTTACTCAGACTTTCAGAATAAACCATGCTCAGAAAGCATGAAGGAGGTATTGGCTCTTATCTACACATAGATATTTTTCGCAAAAAACAGCCAGACGACAATCAAAACCTCTGTCCTCATTGACTACCTGCGACTACCTCTATCCCCATAAAAGCTATGAGCAAAAAGCTAAAGATAGTCTCTTTAGTCCTTCTTGTGGAGACAAAAGAAACATTCTTAATTGGGGTCATAGAAATGTCTAGTTAGGAAACTGGGATGCTAGACATGGAAACACTTTTTCTGTCCATGTAAAAAACAAACAAAGATTGTTGGAGAATGGGCACAGGACGAAGAAGTGGGCGACGGGGTCACGCGCAGAAGAAACCCACCATGTTCTCATTCTGATGAACCGCTACCACCATGTCATTCGGGTCATACTTTCTTTGCGTCCCAAACAAAGATATTTACAAAATTATTGTTGGTTTCTTGGTTGAATTGGCAGGAAGCACTAATGTTTTTCATAATTCTGTGTTTGTACCCACTGGTGACACCGGTATTAGCAAAATCATTCATTAGTATGTCCTACATCATTGTCATAAGAGTTCTGTTACAGGGTCTGGTAAGACCCATAAGTATCTTAACATTCTATGGATGTTGTTCACTTTTATGTCAAATTCATTTGGCTTTGCTCTACCTATTTTGGTTTTTCTGCACAAAGGTATTTAATGACCATTGTAACGTCAGGGAAGCTGCATGTGTACTTTCAATCCTGTTTTTCCGCAACATTGAACGGTGAACATCGCTGGCATGCTGCCACATCATAATGAAACCGTCACTGCCATTGTGATGTGGCTGCATGTCTCAACACCAGTGATGGTTGCTATGGTAACCATTGCGGCATGCCTGTTTTCATCACGCATCTGTTTGCTGCTTTACTCCATATCTACAATGGGACCTTGTCTTTAGCTGGGCCACCACTTCATGCTGTGACATCATTTAGCGAGTCGCTAAATGGTGCAGTGAAAGCCTTTATTGGTGAGGTTTTGTAGTGTATCCCAGAGCGCGTTTAGGTGTAGGTTGTAGGCTGTTAGATTTAGTGGAAAACTTTTCCCGGTAAATTTAGTGGCAAAAAATCAGTGTCACCTGACATTGTGGTGTCACAATTTTCCCTCCAAGTTGAGCAAGGAAACTTCTTGGGTAACTTTAGCGGGAAGATGTTTCCTACGAGCCCAGGTGTCCTGGGTTAAATTACCAGCTCTGCCCCATAATGAATTGGATGAGCATCGTACTGGAACACAGTCGTGTTATCATTACTGTGTGATGTATGTTAAAGGGGCCCTGCAATCATATTTAAGCATCTACCTTTTTTGCGGTTTCCATGTCTCTTTCGGTTCGGGCAAGCCAGCGAGCACGGAGTGAGTAACTAAATATCGGTGCTTCATATTTTGACCGAACGACGCGGAAACCTCCTCCACCGACGGGGGCGACTCACGGTACTGAAAGCGCGCGATCTGTGACGTCTTTGGTCCTGGGCTTACTACTGGTCAGAGCCACTAGAAGCTTCTTTTTAGTCGAAATACAAAATATAGTTTGCGTGGACCGTTTCAATTATGTATAAAGGTAGGTTTTGTTCGGTATTTTAGATCAGAAAAGAGACAAATACAGTTCATAAAATACGGAAACAAAATATGACCCGTCGACATACCCGCCACCAAGCGGTGGAAAAGGCGGCGCATACTAGAAAGGAGTAGTGGGATCAGGCGCCGACACTGAAAGGTACTGGATGTATGCGACGGCGCTGCGGTCGTAGGGACTGGAGGATTCCACCGGCTCCGAGTGATCCAAAGGCTTTCGGCGAGCAGCTTTGTCTGGTGGTTTGGCCATTTCACAATACGGCAGTGCGAAGTGGCTCCCGTTCTGAGCTGATCTTTACCGCGCGTTTGCTGTCGTTTGTGGTCAATGAAGTGTCATGCCGAATTAGCGTTTAATCGCGCAGCAAATGCAGTGTGAGCCGCTCTGGCTGCCCGTCGCATACAGCTTATCCAGAACATGCTTTAGTGGCGCCCTCTTGCGCCGTCAACACAGAGTGCGGCAGCCGTGAGCGCTCGCATAGCTCACTACCTTTCCTCTAGTTAAGGCCACTCAAGCAACCAAGGACGTCATGAAGGAGGTTATCTTTTGCTTGTTTTGGTAATTTTAATTCGCCTATAACTTTTAAAATAAAGCAAAATTAAAGAAAAGAAAGGTTTCATTATGTTACTACGTTCGCTGCAAATTAAAAATTAGTAAAAAGGTCGTTGCAGGGCCCCTTTAAGGACCCGTAGGCTAGCAGTCATATTGCACTGATTAAATTTCTCACCTACAGTGAAACCACTGTTTCCATACTTCAAAGGTAGGCCGAGCTCACTCTGTTAAACACGAATATCAAATTTGGATTGGTTTTATTGATGAGGAGATAAATTTAGCTGGTGTTAGTAACTAAATAATTTATTTGTTGAAATGAAATTTTTTAGCTGAAACTCGGTTACATCTTCATTAAGTTGCAACTTAGCTCAATTAGTCTCTTGTCAAAGTTATGCAAGTGCACAAATTAGCAATGATTGATTTGCAATGTAATCGCCTTGTTACTGCCACCTTATACGCCGCCATGAGCAGAGGAACCTTTCTTCACATTACCGAGGCACCAATGACAATGCTGGGTACATAGGCATATGTTCTGCATGTGTTCACCTTACCTGTACGAAAGATTAAGATTAAATTACGGAATGGAGTGTTGAGAAATGTACATGCACAATGTCATCTGGTTAAGATTTTTATTCAGAAAAACTACAGTCTGCAAATGCCACCACATATTGCACATGTAGCTACAGTTGTGGCACGCTCCTTGGTTTTTGGCGAAAGGTTTATTGCGGTATATGCCAGCTGTTTACTACGGCAGCTGCGGCAGCCTGATGGGCGTTGCGGTAATATGTCCTGCAGGGACAACACAAAGCTCCTGCTGAAGATGTGTTTCGTGAGGGTCTTGCCTGCTGCCCTCATCTTCCTGACCAGCACCAGGCTGTTTGGGAAACCATCCAGTGTTTGTGAGTATCTCGTTGCTGTACTTACTTTTCTCGTTATTGTATTGATTACCTGGACGTCCATTCCCACAGTGTTCGATCGACTGATCGCTTTGTGTAAAAGCGTTGTCCAAATTGATGCACAGTGGCCCCCAAGTGGCGATGTAAAGGCGGAATGGGACGCTAAGCACACCAATCACAGACACGTTCCAGGCACCATACCCACATTGTTTCCCATCTCATTCTTTTTTTATTTTTATTTTTGACGTAGGCATGCCATCTGGAGCGACTCCCTTTTGAAATTGCGCAAATCACAAAGGCTGGGTGTTGTATTAAAACTTTATCCCTGTGATGTTTAGCGAAAAAAAAAAAAAACGGGATGGGCAATCTCTCAGGGGAGGGCATTCATATGGGATTTTACAGTAATGCCGTAGGCCAGGCACGTATCCAGGGGGGGGGGGGGGGGGGGGGGGGCCATAGCACCCGGCCCTTCTCCCCCCCCCCCCCCCCCCCCCCCCTCTGAAATCTTCCCTTTTGCTGGGGTATCCTCTCCCCCCTCTCCTTTATACAGCATTTTGTCATGGCCCCCTCCCCCTCCCCCTCCCCCTTCCCCCCCCCCCCCCCCCCCCCCCCGAAAAAAAATCCTGGCTACACGTGCCTGCCGTAGGCACCGCTGCAGCACCGAAATACCGTCTCGTCTTTTAATTTTCGCTGAAATAGCAAAGTGACAATAGGGAATGTTTTATGATAGTACAGCCTAAGCTCATTACAACAGACCCGGTTAGAACCGACATTTGGATATAACATACCGATTTGTGAAGTTCAGTTGGTTTTTCTCTAAGACCCATGACTCAACTTCATATCTGCATACAACATACTCCTCTTAGAACAGACCGAAATCTTGGCCAAATCAGTCTGTTATAACGAGCTTAGACTGTAGTACCATGCAAAAGCAGAAATTCTAACCCTCTACGACTAAGAGTGTGCAATCCTTGGCTTCCATAAGCATCGCCACATAGTTCTTTTTGGTACGCCACTTTCCAGCAGCAGAATGGAGAATTTCAGCTACAGTCGACCATTGGAAGTGTGCAACACCTAAAAATGGAGCTCGTCGGCATAACAACACATAGAGACGCGGCGCTCGCTCTGACCTCTTCTAATGCGCTCCTAGCATCTTGGCCGCGTCTGCACCTCTTCACGGTCATGTTTCTCAATCTCGCTTAAAAGTAAGTTTCACACGTTCACATTCGAGAACCTACTTGCGTTCTCATGTCGTTCAAGTTGTATGTTGTAAATTGCAACAACGTCGACGCACCACCACGCTTCTCTGCGCCAAAATACACCTCTGCGAAGCTCTTGCGCGTTTGAAGATCCGTACACCACTACGAGACGACATTTGCCAGCACCAGTGATTGATACAATCGACATAAGAAGTACTTTTCGCTCCTCTTTTTATCAAGTTGTTCTTCGCTTGCTGGCAGGTCGAGTAGACATAGCACATGGGGGTCAAAGCGGGATCCGTGTTCTCAGCGTCTGGGTCTTATATAAAACAATGTTGGCGCCGACTTTGACCCCGTACATTACATGTAGCACTCTGCTTGGGTGAGTTGACGTCGGTATGCTACGCACGGTGGCTTTGCGAAAGGCTTTTGTTGGGGCCTCACTGTGAAGCCACCGTCTTGCGGCACGCTTCCAATAGTCAGTGGCAGATTAAGAACCCAGTAGACGCTTCGCTGCTTGGCTTTAACTGTTCACGCGACAAAGCATCGTCAAGGGCCAAAAGCTCCTGCTCAAGGCGGGACACCTGCCGAGCTTTCAGCTTGTCATCGACTATAGGTCCGACCTGCGTTTTGAAATACCAGTTGTATCTTGGAGCTACTCCGGATGCACATAACATCTATAGGGTACCGTAATATCCCGTGAGATAGCCCACTTAAAATCGAGAAAAACTTTTGGTGAAAATAAGGAGTGGGCTAACTTTAGGTGTGCAATCGAGAGCGGTTTGAAAAATTATATTTTTGGATAATCCGTCTCTGCAAAACTTATTATCGCGCTGAGGGGCAATGCAGCAAAAATGACTGTACTTCCCCGTCAGCACTGTTTGCTTTTATCCCGCCATAACTAACTAGATGCATTTACATTGAAGTCATCATTGATCCCAACACTATGGTTACTAGGAGTGGGCTATCCTTTGGTGTTTAAAAGAAAATAGCAAATCAAGCCAATATTAGGGGTGGGGTTACCTTTCAAAGCTGGGGCATCCCTCAAGATTTTAGGTGAACATAAGTAAAACTTGTCCAACTTCTTCCTGGGATTCTTGCGATTCCCATGCTCATTTCTTAGGCGATCCCCATGCTCTGCTGAAGTGTAGATGTCCAAGAATTGCTTATAAGAAATGTCTAAAATAAAATGTAAACGCCCCCCAAAAAAAGTTGATGTTAGTGTTAATACACCGTAAGGTCTATCTGCCTTTGAAATGCGGAAACACTGGTTTATGCTATATCTGATAACTTTAGCCAGTGCAGTACCATTGCTAGCCTGGTGTCTTTAAAGGGGTCATGAAACAATATGGGGTTGGAATGTTGATGACTTTACCGAGGTGTACTGGTCGTAGTCTGGCCAAAGTATACTCACACAGACCACCGCTGATTGAGAAGCTTCTTGGTCGCGGTGAAATTGCGAGGATAAAATGGGGACTATTTCTTCCAGTCTTGCCTTTGCAAAGCTTGCGCAATTGTGGGATCGAAACCATCCATCTGACGACACTCGAGCGCGGCTCATGGATTGGACACGAGAACAGCGTGAGCACTCGACTTCGGCTCGTAAGAATCAATGTCTCGGCGGACACTCGGGTCGTGGCTCGTGTCCAACCACTGTGGTGATGAGAATAGCAAGAATGCCTGGTGCTCAGCATGCATTTTCTACCTTAACGGCCTCAACGCGTGGCTATGATTAACGTTGGCGCATATGATGGGCACCAGAACACGTGGCCGCTTGTTCTGGCTCCGAGTTCAGGGGATGACGATGCTCATATTGTCACAAACAACAAATGATGAGGCAAAGAAGAACTGAAGAAACTAAATGTTTAATGGGTTGAATTTGTGCCCAAACCAAAATAGAGAAAGGCTAGCGTTGCAGGCGTCGACGTCGGGAAACAGCAGGATCGAGCACTGAGACGACACTGACTCCGACTCACCATGCGGAGTTCCTTATGCACCCGCGTGGGTTTCTGGCATATTCGCGGCTTAAAACGTACGGTGACTAGAAAATTAAGACCTCGAACAAGGAATAGGGTTCTTGAATTTACCAGAACATTCAAACTGAAAGAATAAATAAAAGACGCATAGCTCCCAAGAATCGAACCCTGGGCCTCCGCACAAAAGTCAAGCACAGTAACCACCAGTGTTGTACGCGTTCCTCAAAAAAAGGAACGAAAGCCCGTTCCTCGTTCCTTCTGATTTTTGGAACGCGTTCCCGTTACAAGTACTATATGTGAAAAAGGAACTCGTTCCCGTTACAGTTAAAAAAATGGAACGTGTCGTTACATATACGTTACATGGGCGTTTTGCTAATTACCATATTTAGTTAGATCAAGCAAACGTTTCTTTTTCATCTATCCCATAAAATGCAACATATGAATCTGAATGCATTGATGGAAGGGCACCAGGAGAAGTAAACAAGCGAAAACAGGGTTTCGTTTGTGTATATATTCACCTTGAGAAAATTTCCGCTTTTAACCATCTTTTCTGTGGGCGATTCAAACGAGCCAAATGTACTGTTACCCGACATTGCAAGAGCGTTTTACAACAACCTCACATCTAACAATCTATCAAAGAACCTTGTTCAAACTTAACAACAGTTGCTTCTCGGTGTTGCTGTCCACAAGACGAGCGAGTGAAGAAGAGGTTGGGCCTTTTGGAAAGTCAGTCTTGAGAACTACAAGTCCTTCTTCGTGAAGGTTGGATTCATTTTCAGTTTGAAGGTGGGGGACAAGGGGAGAAGTAATAAAGATTAATTTTGGTGTATCTCTTAAGTGACCAATATTCGTATACAAGGGCGATTTCGATGTCAGGTAACCTGTTCTTTTGTGTTAACTGCAGGTCTCTTTATGGAAGTTCAGTGATGGCTGTCGACCTTAGATTTCTGGGTGTGTGAGGATTTGTGGATGCAAAGAAAGTTGCACAGTTTGAAATTGCCCTCTTCTGTGTCTTTTCCTTCGACTAAAAGTTTTGCTTTTTGTACCGGAGTCTCGGGCACTAAAAAAAGAGTCAATGTCCACTAGCTCTCTTGCACCCCTTGGTTACCGAGCGAGGACCACACAAAGTAAACCCTAAGATTAGTAATCAAAAATTTATGGAGACCCTGCTCTTCGTAAAGATATTGTTTTCATACTTTTAGAATTTTCCTCTTAAAAATAAAATAAAAATTATTCCGCTGTACGAAAAAAAGGAATGCCGTTCCCTTTTCCGTTCCAGTAAAATGTAACGAGTTCCCGTTCCAGTTCCACTGACGCAAAATGTAACGGTGGCGTTCCTTCGTTCCTCCTAGAAGGAACGCGTTCCAGGAACGCCGTTCCTTGGAACGCCGTACAACACTGGTAACCCCTCAACCACGCACGCACGCACTCGCCGACGTGCCTGGCATCACTCTCCCCTTTAAAAAGAACGTTATCTCCATGCCACGTGAAAGGGAAAAAAGTTCAGAGCAAGGAAAACAAAACAGTAGGAAAATACGGAGGCTGGCAAAACATAGTCCTATCAAGCGTTGCACAGAATCACAGTTCACAGTCTTATCATCCGTAGTACGGCTTCAGGCACACGATGTGGACGACTTCAGGTCGTGGTGGGCGGCGTGATGCTGTTCTTGTTCCTTCGGGCACCATCTCATAGTTCAGCTTCTCGAGGCGACGAAGTACCTTGTATGGTCCAAATTATTACAAAGTTTCAGCAGTTCCTCACTGAGGCCGCGGCGATGGATGGGCATCCACACCCACACCCTGTCCCCGGGCTGGAAGTGGATGTTCC